ATTTTTTCTTTTTGCAAACACACATATACACACCCACACACACACGCATGTACACACTCACACACACTCATACACACACACACACACACACCGAACAGGCAAGCATACTAACTGAAGGCGTACTTCCCGGGGCCGATCGATCTAGGATGGCTGGCGCTTGTCAGTAAAATCACTAACATCGGGCCTCCGTATTCTAGGCAATTTTGGTAATATTTGGCACTGTTGCAGGAAGGTCCAATGATTCATTCGGGTGCTGTCGTTGCAGCCGGCGTATCACAAGGCAAATGCGTCACATTCTCACTTGATTTCCATATTTTTGAACAATTCCGAAACGACCAGTTAGTTACTGTTTTTGTTGCCGAGCCGACTGTAGCAACCAGGTTAACGCTGGAAGCCTGATTGGCGAAGGCGCGACAGACTACAGTATGAGAGAAGATAAGAGTGAGATAAGACGTTTCGGTCCATTAAGTCATATACGACATAACTGAACACCACGACAGGACCTCGTCAGTATGACGATCGCAGTGCTTAGTGGAAAAGGAAAAGAAAAGAGAAAGACGATAGAAAGAAGCAAAAGGAACCCAGGCTGGAACGCACCAGGCGTGCCAGTGCGGTTATGCGTTTTTATGCGTTTTGTGCTGTGTAACAGCAGTACAAAAGCATATTTTCACGGGGTTGTCTGTGTGTGTTTGTGTGTGTGTGTGTGTGTCCCTTTCAACTCGGGAACCACAAAAGCTAGGCGGCTGAAATTTTAGTATAGTATTCCGCGCCAGTGGATGATGCGGCAAATTTAAATTCAGCTTTCTCGTATCTGCGGGTAACACGTGCGGTACCGTAAAAGTTTTTAGTGTAAAATCAGTATCTCGGGAACCACGGAAGGTAGAAGGCTGAAATTTTGTGCATGCCCCCCACCCATGTACTACTCAGAAAATCTAAATTCAGTTTTCCCCTGCCCGCAGGTAACAAGTACGGTTCCGTGAAAATTTTTGACGGGTAAATTATTATCTCGGGAACCACGGTGTCTAAGA